TTGAAAAGTAAAAGAAAAATTCTTTCATTGTTATACAATCCCACCCCCCAAGTCCACTCCACTATGTTCAGAAAAATTAAGTGACCCCTCCAAAGTCACCACAATGTTGAGTAGAAGAGTCAAAATTTGAATCTATTACTTATTGGATGGTTTGCTCTGATTATTGCAGTAGAATGGATTGTATCTCAACACCAAGAAAGCAAAGATATTTACTACTGATTAGGCCAACAGATAATATCAAGATAGATGGAGATTGTGGCCTTTTATTTCATCTTGCCTAGATCCACAATCAGCACCCGTGGTAGCAGCAGTCAGAAAATCAAAAGACAAGTTGTATTGGGGCAATCTGATGTCAAGAACCTCTTCAGAGTACTAAAAAGCAACCATGTTAGTCTAGAGACTTAGAGATTAAAGTGCACGTGATCGAAGTCATGGAGCTCCCAATCATTTGCTGTGCACCTTAGAGCTAGAAAATAAGGAGGACAGAAGATGAATCAATGCCTTTTAATGTGGTGCTGGAAAAGAGTATTGAACATATCACGGGCTGCCAAGGAACAAACAGGCCTGTCCTGGAGAAGGTGAAACCAAGTTGCTCATTGGAGGCAAGGAGTTTGAAGCTTTGTCTCACATACTTTTGGCCAAGTTGCCAGGAAGGACCAGTCCTTGAAGAAGGTTATCAAGCATGGAAGTGTAGAGGGTCAGCACAGGAGAGGAAGACCCCAGATGAGATGGGGTGACACAGTGACTGTGGCAATAGGGTCAAATATGTCAGAGATGGTGAGGTTGGCTCAGCAGAGGGCCAAGTTCAGAGCCATTGTTCATAGGATCGCTATGTTGACTCAATGGCAAGTAATAACAACAACAGTATCTACAGTGTAGGCTTGGAGTCTGCAATCTAGGAGGTGAGAGTTTTACTATCTGAATGGCAAGTGGTTCTTAACCAAGAGGGTGATGAAGAGGAATATCTCTGAAAGCCATTGCTAATTCTCGTGAATCCTCACTCACCACTGTTGAAGGCTGGTCACAATAGATTATTTTGTTGAGTGATTCTACTCTATTGTGGGGCCCTAAAAAAAGCAAAAACAACAACAACCAAAAAAAACCCAAAACCACCAAATGGTATTACCTTAAAGTCAGAACCAATTTATAGCTGACTTTCCATTGGGTTCCCAAGGCTGCAAATAGCATGAGAAGAGATTGCTCATCTTTCTCCCTCAGCATTGATCAATTCCAATGTCTATACAAACATAACTTTTAGGTTAATAATTCAGTCCCCTGTGGATTACTCCAGCAGAGTTCCCTAGTGGGACCCTAGAAGCTACATTTATACAGAGAAACTGTGAGAGCCAGAACTCGACAGGACTGTCTCGTTTTTCTGGATCTCACATTTTTTTTCTTTGACTAAGTACTTGCTATTGCTCTCTGTTAAAAGTCCTACTCTGTTCAAGTTTTGAGTTTCCTTCTCAGACAGGTTTCTGCCTCTCACAGGTTCTAGCCTTCTAAGGTTTTAGGAATTCATTCTCATGTGATTCTGTTGTGCATGGTCCTTTGATCACAATGAAAAATGTTGTTGTTGTTGTGTACTGTCGAATCAGAACCAACCCACAGCTGACCCTCTTGTGGTTTATCAGAGGCAGTTAATCAGATGGAAAGAGACTGCTCATCCTGCTCCTACAGAGCAGCTAGTGGCCTCGAACCACGTGCCTTCAGGACTGCAGTGCAGCTTCTTGCCAATAGGCCACCAGAGCTCCCTACAATGAAAAAGCAAAAAAGGGCTGAAAAAAATTATCATATGCCCATACAAATACATCATTTACTAGCTGTACATTTCTGGAGGGCCTCCTATACATTGGGAACACTGGCTAGTGTTGCTGGCTCTTCCCTGGCTTCATCCCTGTATTACACTATGCCTCGTTCTCTGCATCTGTAAATAGGAAGCATTGGATGGGAGGATCTCAGAATTTTGCTAGGCTTACTACTCAAAGGTTCAAAGACCCTGAGACTGTGTTTTCTGCTCCTCTGAAGGTGCACTTGCCAGAAAGGCTACGTGGGAGATGGCTTGACATGTTACGGAAGCATCATGGAGCGGCTGAGAGACTTAAACACAGAACCCAGAGGGAAATGGCAAGGGAGCCTGAACATTTTCATCACACTCTTGGGTACGTGGCCGAGGTGCAGAGCACTGTGGAGGGGAAGCTAGTTCCCACAGGGCATCTGCCAACACTAGAAAGATATCTAGAAAGGCATGCAGGATAGACAAGACTCATTGACTCTGGAGAGTGGCCCTTTTGGGGAATAGAGGGGAAAGAAGGATAGCTGTTTCCAAGGAGATAAGGAACAGTTAGCACCAAGAGTTCTAGAAAAGCAGAAACTCACAGGCAAAGAGCTAAGGACAGATTCCTGAAGTCACCATTGATTCTGTCACACCAACAGTGACATGATGCTTGGGAGGGTGGAGGGACAGCGCAAGAGAGGAAGACCCTCGATGAGATGGATTGATTCAGTGACTGGGGTAAGGCGGGTGGGTATGTCAGAGACAATGAGGTTGGCTCAGGATAGAGCAAGGTTTAGGACCATTGTCCATAGGATTGCTATGAGTCACAAGTGACTCAACAGCACATAACAACAACAAAGGGGAGAAGGAGTGTGAAAGAAGGAAGAGGGACTCATTTGGGCCATGTCAACATGGTGCTGTCCATTCTCAGAGCGTCTCCCTCCCAGCTTACAGAATGCCTTCTTTATTGGTCTGATTTTACTCAATGTGAGCTACTGACCCACTTGGTGTCTTCTCTGTGTGTTTCCAAACCTAAGGCAAAGTTTATGCCTGGCCACTGAGTAGCCTGGGACCGTTCACTCTGCTTTTACCAACAGACAAAGGACTGAAAGGATTCAATGTGAGTGTTTAAAATATCATGTCATATATACCAAGGGGCCAGTACAAGAGACCTTAATTGGTACCACTCAAGCCCAATGCCATTGAATTGATTCTGAATTGTAGCAACCCTGTAGGACAGAAGAGAGCTGCCCCAGAAGGTTTCCAAGGCTGTACCTCCTCATGGAAGCAGACTGTCTCATCTCTCTTTCTCAGAGCAACTACTGGTTTCTCTCTCTCTCTTTCTTCTCCATCTCTCCTCTCCTCTCCTCTCCTTTCCTCTCTCCTCTCCTCTCCTTTCCTCACCTCTCTTCTCTTCTCCTTTCTTCTCTGTCTCCCCCTCCCCCTCTCCTTCTCCCTCTCCCTCTCTTTCATCGCCATCAAGTCTGAACTGATTCATACCTGATGCTCCACTGGGTTTTCAAAGGCTATAAATCGCATGTGAGGAGCTTCCCCATCTTTCTCCCACAGAGCCACTGGTGGATTCAAACCACTCACGTTTGGGTCAGTAGTGCAACTTCCTATCCCACAGGCCACCCGGGCTCTCTAGGGTGTCTTAGTAGGCACCATATTCTCTTATTGAAATGGGAAGCCCTCATCAAAATTAAATTTCCTAATGATAACGAGCTCTGGTGACCTCCTGGTAAGAAATTGCTCTGAAATCCCAAAGGCATGCAGTTCGAATCCACCAATAGATCCATGGGAGAAGGATGGGCAATCTCCTCCTGTGAAATTTACAGACTCTGAAAAGCCACTGGAGGGTGAGCTATAAGTCAGCTCCAACTTGATGGTACTCAGCAACAACAATGATAAAATATAGTAAAAATCTAACACCCTTGTAGAAAATATACAAATCCTACAAGGAAAATAATTTCACAAAGTGAACATATGTGTGTCTTCAGAAAGATAACTGTGAGCATCCTGAAGCCTCCTGAACCCCGTTCCACTCAGCCCCCTCTCCAGAAACAAGGGGGGGTTTCTTTTT